GCCTGGCGGCAGGAAGGCCGCCGGGCCCCGCTGGCCTGGCCCCCTGGGGCTCCCGGAGCTGCAGCCGTGAGTGTTGCCGGTCGCTCCGCTTGCTGAGCTGGGGCTGGGTGTGGGGCCTGCCCGGGACTGGGTCAGTCAGCACGGAGCAGGGGTGTGCTGGCTGAAGGGGGGTGGGGGGTGAGCAGTACGGGGGGCCTGTTGGTGTAGATAGGTGCAGCGTTACTTTTTTTCTGGGGAAAGAGGCCACGGGGTCACACAATTTGTCCTGCAGGGTTGTGGGGTGAGGGCCTGTTTGTGGAAGCTGTGTTTAAGGGTGCTCGGAGGGTGTTGGTGGTTGTGGTGAGCTGTATGCCTTACTGTCACAGGCCCTAACCCAGAAAGTGGCAGGAGGGGGGCTGGACAGTATCACTCGAGGAATTCCTGCTCCTTTAGCTTCCCCATAAACAGGCAGCTAATACAAGAAAATGCTGATAGCCTAAGCTCAAGGAGGAGGAAGACATAAACGAATCGGGTAACAGGATGTGTGTGAAGAGGGGTATGGGGTCAAAGCTGTTGGACTGATTGCCCACTATTCCCTGTAGGTATCCAAACCGCTGGGAGTGGCCACCGAAGATGAGGTAAGGACAGACTGATGCACCTCCTTACTGCTTTTCTCATCAACACTGTTTGCTATTTCCTCCCTTACCTGATAGTAATCTTTCCTTTTGACAAGCCTATCTCTTTCTCTCATGCTCCATGGCTCCGTTTGTTTATCTTCTACACTATGTTTGTAATCCATCTCTGTCTTTGGCAGCTGGTTGGAGAGTTCCTGCAAGAGCAGAATGCCCCTTTACTGTCCCGTGCACCTCAGACCTTTAAGATGGATGACTTGTTGGCTGAGATGCAAGAGATTGAACAGTCAAGCTTCCGACAGGCCCCTCAGCGAGGTGAGGGGAGCTAGAGTAGGTGGAGAGCTGGAAAAGATCTTGGTGTTATGTAGGGCAGTTGCTATCTATTCAGCGCTTGTGAGATTGTATCTGGAGTATTGTCTTCAGATTTGGGCTTCCCAGTGCGCTGACGTACTGGAACAAGTCTAGTGGAGATTAATAAGGTGTTCAGGGACTGGAATATGTGGTGTAAGAAGAAAGGCTGAGGGAACTGGGTTTGTTCAGCCTGGGGAAGAGGAGTCTAAGGGCCAGGAGGGGTCAAGGGTAGAGTGTCTAGTTGCTGTCCTCCGCAGCCATGACTGGGATCTTCGCAGCGATACACAGCAAAAGGACAAGGGGCAATGGCAACTTGCGGAAAGGGGAACTGAGGAGATGTAAGGAAACATTTCTTCCCTTGGAGGGCGGTTCAGTACTGGAACAGGTGCCTAGGGAGGCTGAGGAATTGCCAGCCTCGGACAGGTTCAGAAGTTACCTGATGAATGCCTTGAGCAACCTAATCTCTAGCTTCGGTGTTAACCGGCTGTGAGAACACTAGCAACCTCCAGAGATTCCTTCCAAGTGGAATCTTTCTGTGATTTTGTTCTAAAGAAGAGAAAGGGAAAGATTGGAGACTATGAGGGCTGGCCTAGAACACTTAAATGATGCCTTTGATTCCTCCAATCCTCACTTCTGTTTTTTTTCTTCTTGTAGCTCCAGGTGTGGCAGCCCTGGCACTGTCTGAAAACTGGACCCAGGAATTCTTGGCTGCAGCAGATAGTGCTGGTGATGTCTCTTCAGATTACAATGAGGCTGACTGGTCACAGGAGTTCATCGCTGAAGTGACAGGTGAAGGGGCCCTTTTGGAATTACTGTCAAGATGTTGCCTAGTCATGTGCTTGTGTATAGCGAAGAGTTAATGAGCGTGAAACTGGAGTAATGCTTTGGGCCCAGCAGTCAGTGTTTACTGTATCAGCTTTAACAGGGTGAGAAAAAAACCCAACAATGTGGTGTGGAAGCTTTTATTAGGGTGTAAGGGTCTTTTGTTTTTAGCTTAGGTTGCTCAGAGAACTTGGGAGAAGCAGGCTATTCAAACTGCTTTTACAAAATTACTGTGATTCAATTGATGCAAATTCTGGAGATGGTCTGATACTGCTTCTTGCTTACATATTCTCTAATTCCCTCTATTAAGGCTAAATTTGCCTTTGGTACAAAGGTAGATATTGCTTAGTGCACTTTGGCCAAATACTTTTTTTCAGTTTCATGGAGGTAGAGGGATGTTGCACCTTGGAAATGTGCCAAATGAATGTTTCTGGGCCCAAATGTTAAGGTTTCTGTTTCAAGCAAACCAGTAGTTTATCTGAAAAGCCACCCTGCGTTGTGTATAGAGCTGGGGCTGGAACAGGGTCCTGTTACCATCTGTGACCTAATATGAAAGTTATGAGAAAGATTTAAATAGATACTATTCTCTTCTCCAGGAGTGGCCACTGTAGAGACCCAGGTAGTCCCATTCTTTGACCCTCACTGTTTATAATTCTGGGAATATAATCAGCATTTACACAGGTCTTTCAGAAAGTTCTGTTGAAAACCTAGTGCTTTGTAGGCTGTGCTTTTGATGGAGACTTGTAATGCATTACTAATTTTTTTGACCTACATAGAGCAGACAAATAAGTTGTGAAATTAAAGTAGAAAATCATAAGGTTATTGGCACCACAGTGGCGTCTGTATTAATACACAGTCTGAACCTAAGGCTTGATTTTTAGATCAGAATAAACAACATTAGAAGAAACAAGCATAAACAATCTTTCTTTGAAGGTTTTTTCCCTGTATGTTAGCTAGTCCCTGTATGTAAAGTGGAGAGGCAAAATCCAAAGTTTGAGTGATGGTCTGCCTATCTTACTCTTCTCCTCATTCTTCCTGATGTCCTATGCAGATCCGCTCTCTGCGTCTCCGGCCAAGTGGGCAGAAGAATACCTAGAGCAGTCAGAGGAGAAACTGTGGCTTGGGGAATCGGAAGATCAGTCTTTGGCAGATAAATGGTGAGTCTGTCTTCCCAAGACTAGTTATTGCTGCTAGGCACTTGGGTGGGTGAAGTTTGGGTAGGTGGTAGAAATCAGCTGTGGCCTGAATGGTTTTGAGTCATTTAACCTAGATTGATGTTCTCAAGCCTTTGTTTTCGGAGAAAGGAGGAAGCAGTGCTTGGAAACTGGAGTTTTTAAGGGATCCTAGCTTTTCTATTTTCTAGTTCCAGGAAGATACTGTGATTGTGTAGGCTAACTTAATCTCACGCCTAATGCAAAGCTCCTTAAAGTGATTTCGTGAACTCTGAATCAAGCAGACCATTTTTCCACAACAGAGCTTTTTTAGATTTAAAGATCTCAAGTAATAGACTCTACTAGTTTTAAACTTTCATCACTTTATTCTCCCTATCTGACAAACCACCTTTGGCCTTTCCTCTGTGTATTTCTAGATTCAGCCTTCCAGATGTTACTTTCACGTGGTTCTGTGTGGTAGATTAAAGAACAGCCTACTACTATGGGTGTTCTCTGTATAGGTACCTGTTGGCTACAGTCAAGTTTTTCAACTAAAGAAGCAAAACACAAGCAAGCAATTTGGGCTTCTTAGATCTTTTCCTAAAATAGATTTTGCATATTTGGATTCTCCTTCCTCCTGGCTCTTGCCTTTTCTGGTACCTTTCGGCAAGTATGGATATTCCTGAGTTTTTGCTGCCAGTTCCAAAGACTTCACCAAGATTGAATGTAGTGGTAACACCTGGAACTGGTCCTATCCTGCTGTAAGCCAGACAACATACTGAGTTGTGTGCTTGCTGTGAGCCCTCAGTCCTCTGTGAAGTTGATGCTTTTACAAGACGCTGTTCCTCTTCCATGAGCATGACCTACTTTTCTTTGTTCATAGATATATGACCTTGTTTTTGGTAGAGCTAAAACTTGATGTTCGATAGCATGTGAGCTTGCCAAGGAATTCAGACTGTTCTGCAGAACTGTTGTTGTCACTGTAATTGTTTAATTCTGCTACTGTTTGTGTCAGTTACTCGCCTAGTTAACCTAGTAGTAATTTTGAATTTTCACAGATGGATAAACGTACTGAATCACTTAGGAGAACCCCAGAGTCTTTGAGGAGGGGTTTTGTCCCTCAGTACTGTTGTCTGGCCCATTGTGTAGACTGTTGTTAGTGAAAGAGTTCACTGTTGCCTGGTATCAGACTTATGAGGAATATCAACCTGAGGATGATCTTAAGAAAACAGTTAGTGATTTCCTCTCTAAAGTGGATGATCCAAAACTCAAGAATTCTGAGGTAAGAAATTCCCTGACTGGGGCTGACAGATATCTAGTGTGAATGAGGGGTGTGGGGACTTGAGAAGGGGGAAGACAGTAAAGGAGTAAAGCCTCCTGCTGTCCCATGTTTCCATTTCTTCCTTGATTCCTAGAAATTGAACCCTACAATCCACTCTAGATGTTACCCATCTCTACCACATGACTCTGGTGAAGTCCTGTCCTCCCTACCTTTTTGGGCCTTTTGTGCTCACTTTGCAGAGAGAAGTCCTTTTAGTGAAGGAGGGGGGCATGGGCAGGGGGCTTATTGGCAAAGCATCTGCCCAGCTCCACCCTTGTTTCATTTCTCTGCCACAGTTCCTAAAGTTTGTCCGCCAGATCGGAGATGGGAGGGTATCGATCGAAGCTAATCAGGTGACCCACAGAGACCAAGATCAGGCAGAGCAATGGGCAGCTGAGTTTATACAGCAGCAGGTAGGAGCCCCAGCCCTATGTGCTCTGAAGGAGGAAAGCTGTTTGCCACAGTGCACAGTGTGAGGGAGAATGGCAAGTCCAACTCTTAGCAATGCTCTACTAACAACTAGGTTGGGGGAGGCGAGGGAGGGGCCATTGGTCTCTTAGCAGAGTCTAGCCAGAAGCTGGGAAGGTATTTGGGCAATGCAAGTCTTCTCATCTCCTGTAGCACCTGGGAGGAAGGGGATATCCAAATGAACTTTCCTCCACTTTACAAGCCATGAGTTCTTGCTGATGGGGAGGAGGGGTCATCACAGACCCTCCTACTGTTTTGGGATGTGCTCTGAAGTTGCCAAATTCTAAAAAGAAAGATGTGTTTCTGTTTCCAAACTCCCAGGGGCCATCCGATGCCTGGGTGGATCAATTTGCACGATCTGGGAACATGTCAACTCTTGATACGGAATTTGAGCAGGCAAAGACTGCTGTGGAGGTAAAGCTGATGGAGGAGGAGGGCTGGGGTACCAACTGAGAGCCCATGGTAGGGTTACCTCTCTCCTTTGCATACTCTGAGGAGGGCTAGAAACATTTAAGAGGGCATGCTCTGGTGTGTCTGTTGAGCTCAGTTTATGATTGAGGTACTCTAGTCACATTCTGTTCTTCCTTCAGTCAGATGTGGACTTCTGGGACAAACTCCAGGCAGAATGGGAGGAGATGGCCAAGAGAGATGCAGAGGCTCACCCTTGGCTCTCTGATTATGAAGACCTCAGCTCCTCATCATATGACAAGGTAATACAGAACAGGGTCTCTCAGCCCTGTAACTGTGATGGACTGCCTTGAGGAGACTGGCAGTGGGTCTGCCTTGCAGGTGAGCTCCACAGACCCCAAATGCTGCTAGGATTCTTTCTCACACTGATCTTTTGCTGTCAATTGCACCCTCATTCCAGATCAGCTAGGGGTTAAACAAATACTGTTTTCACTTGTGCTTGTCAGCAAATGCTGTCTAGTTCTTGTCCAACACCAGATACCAGTTAATGCTGGAATTCTTTGCAATGAGTGGAAGTGTTGTTCCCCCCCTAAGCTGACAGGACCCACACCAGATGTTTAGACTCTGTTGCAAGTTATTCCGCATGTTATTCCAGGTCTGGTTTGGGGGAATTTTTCAGCACAGAGCAGGCAGGAAGAAGAGCCATTGTTCTCTGACTTACTACAAACTACCAGAGAAGACAAGGTGCTGGCTGGTCTGCCGTTTGAGTGTTTCTGATGCAGCAAGGCTAGACTGTGCGGAACTGTTAGAGAGTGCTTTTCTCCCTAAGCCTCTCCCAGCATTAGCCCCTGTCTGTCTTCCCTGCTAGGGTTACCAGTTTGAGGAAGATAATCCCATGAGAGATCACCCAGATGCATTTGAAGAGGGGCGGAAGCGCTTGGAAGAAGGTGACCTCCCTAATGCTGTCTTGCTCTTTGAGGCTGCAGTGCAACAGAAGCCAGATCACATGGAGGTGAGTGAGAGCAGAGATAACAGGCTCTGACCAGGTGTCCTGCTGCTTGGATCCTTCCCTTGTGGGGTGTCAGGGTGTGTGTAGAAAACTCACTTCAGTGGTAGGAGCTGTGCAGGCTATATGAAAGCATCTCTTTTTTTTTTTTTTTTTTTTTTTTTTTTTTTTTTTTTTTATTTTTAAAATTTTTTTTTCCTGTGGCTCTGGGTAGGTAGCTGATGTATGTGAATCCCTGGGAGGGCTATGGGCAAGGAGGTTTATGACTACAGTCAGTTACAAAAAGCGCAAAGGCTCTGGCCCAGAGCTGTGTAAAATTTTTCGAGCACATGAGACTGTACATGGAGTGAAGAGAAGGAGTTCTCATGTCTTAAGTTGCTTCTTTGGAACTCTTTATTGGCATTGCAAGTTTGGAGATGCTTATGGCAGATAACTGCTTTCAATATCTGTATTAAAGACTAATTCTGAGCAGCTTGTTAGACTAGGGGTCCTGGTTAGGTCTTCCATCTAGATGCCAGGGGAAGATGTAACCCAAAAGGGTTGAAAGAAATGGCTTGGGTGTTTTCATGGTCTTCATTTGAACCTGTGGGCCAGGGAATGATTTTTATACTGAAGACAAGTTTTCGGCTCCTAATTCAGTGAATACTTATTTTGATAAAGTACTTCAGCTCCTGCCGGATGGGTTGAGAAATGGAATAGTCTCTGCACATTTCTCCAGAGAGAGAGGATGTGGATGTTCTCAGGAGGAAGAGGAAGAATGCAAATACACCCATGTTGTCAGTTTCTGGAGTGCCTGCCTCAAGGACCCAGGGGTGCTGAATTCTCAGTGTGTCTGATTCAAGCCCTGCTAGTTGTATATGATTGGAAATATCTAATTTGTTAATCTTGAGGCTTAGATGAGAGTGACCCTTGGAACAGATGTTCTTGGCTTCTGGTAATACAGGCATCTAACTTTCAGGGTACTAGGAGTAGGTGAAAAGTAAGCAGAGATTTTGGAGATCTACTTTAGTTTTAAAGTGGTCAAAAGGTGTTGCTAATATTCCTTCAGAATCAGCACTCCCTTCTCATAGGCAGTGTAGGCTGCAGGCTGAGCATAATGCCGAGGTAGTTGAAACCTTAGGGGAAGAACTCTTAGACCAGTTCTGGCTAGCTTTGTTGAAAACATACTGGATTCTTCTACTGTGGCGCTGCAGAAAGTACAGGAGAAGTCAAGACTTCACAAATAGTGCAGTGATCAAACAGACTTGAACAACTCTGGAGGAAATGTCATGGTTGCTTTGGTCCAAATCACAACTTTACCTTGAATCTCAGCTCTTCTGCCTGCAGAATACTATACAGTTATCACTTCTTGAGTTGCAGCTTAGCTATATAGTGAGGCATTAGAGATTTGGGACAGTAGATTGCCTCTTGCTTGTGGTGGCTTGTGCAGTGTGTCTGGGTCTTTGCTAATAAAACAATTTCCTTTTTTGAGACAGTGGATACTGCATTTTATGAATTAAGTTCAAAAAGTGGGTACTTCGTGCTGACACTCCTGCCAACTATCTGGCCTAGTTTTGAGTAAGGGGTGTAGTTATCAACATATAGTGAATGGGTACTTTGGAAATAGTGCCTTATTTAAATATTCCCTGTATCATAAGCCTGGAGATGGAAGTGGTTTTCACATACTGGTGTCACAATGATTCAGTAGAATAATAGTGCTTCTACCTTCAGGTCTGATGGTCGGTTCCCCAAGATATCACTTGCTAGTGGACCATTGCACAAGTATATACAGCTGCCTACCTTGGGGATCTCATTACTACACTGCTGCTATGCCGTTTTATTCTTAGGCAGTAAGAGATATGCATTTGCTCCATTTCTCTGCAGTTTAACCACAGTTAGAAGTCAAAAGTGGAGATTCTGTGACTTAAAAGTGTAAAATTGCCAACAGTTGCTTTGTGATAGATCTCCAGGTAGACGTTCACTACTTCTTTTTACTGTAACACCACCAGTTTTATTGGCCCTGAGGACCTATGTGCCATAAAGTCTATATGTCTTTCGAGAGAAACTTTTATCTGTGGCTAATGTGTATACTTGCATATATTTGGTCTCACTCTAAAAGCGTGTGGGATAACATGGTAGATTTAATCGCTGCATCTGTGGTTTTATTGGCTGATCTTTTTCTCTGGATGTGAAGAAGTCTGACTTTGGGCGTCTTTCCTGCAGGCCTGGCAATATCTGGGAACCACCCAAGCAGAGAATGAACAGGAGCTTTTGGCAATCAGTGCCCTCAGACAGTGAGTGTTGCAGAAGAGCTTCTGAGCATGGCTCCTTGTCTAGTGCATAGTGCCATAAGAACCGTATGGCTAGCATAGTGTGCTCTGCCTTGATTGTTACCTCGTTTATCTGGGTCTCTCCCAGACTGATGTAATACTGTGTTCCCTTGTCTTTCTTTGACCTGCAGGTGCTTGGAACTGCAGCCTGGGAACCTCACGGCACTTATGGCTTTAGCAGTCAGCTTCACTAATGAGTCCTTGCAGAAGCAGGCATGTGAGACCCTGCGGGACTGGCTACGCCATAAACCAGACTATGCCCACCTGCTGGAGAAGGAACCAGAGGAGAGTGTCTCAGGGACAAACTTGGGGCCTTCCAAGCGTGTCCTAGGTTCCCTGCTGTCTGAGTGAGTTAGGGTTACAAATTTCAGCCTGCAGCTGAAAGGCTTCTTGGAGGGTTGGGACTGGTCCAGGCAGGAGCGGAGGGAGCAACCCAAGGCCAGCTCTCTACAGTACACCAATATTCTTGTTCTGTGCTTTTCCAGCTCGCTATTCATGGAGGTGAAAGAGCTGTTCTTAGCAGCTGTGCGCAGCAACCCTTCAACTGTGGATCCTGATGTTCAGTGTGGCTTGGGTGTTCTTTTCAACCTTAGTGGCGAGTATGAGAAGGCTGTGGATTGCTTCAGTGCCGCACTCAGTGTGCGCCCCAACGTAAGAATGGGCAGTCTGTGGAAGCTGGAGGTACCTGGAGGTTTATGGGTGAAGGTTTGGGTGGAGGTACCGCTTGTAGTGGAGGAATAAGACAGACACATGGGGAAGGGAGGGTTGGCTTGGAGCTTAAAAAGGTCCAGTTTATCTCGGCCCTTTCTCTCTGCCTTTTCCTCCAGGACCATCTTCTATGGAACAAGCTCGGTGCCACCCTGGCCAATGGGAATCGGAGTGAGGAAGCTGTGGCCGCATATCGTCGGGCACTGGAGCTCCAGCCGGGATACATCCGCTCTCGCTACAACTTGGGCATCAGTTGCATCAACTTAGGTGCCCACCGGTGAGCATAGGGCAGCTCTGCTGTGACCCATGAGTGTGCATGTGTCTGTGGGAGAGAGACTGCAGTAAGTTAATAGGGCAGTGCCCCTCTGCCTGCAGCCTTCCCTTGGCATAGGGAGTGTGTGGACTCTGTCTTGAGAACAAAGTGTCATGGAGATGTGGTTGGAGTAGGGGCCATCTGGACTTCAATGTCTGTTAAGAGGGAAAAGGGGGATCTGGTGGTTCTGGAGCGGGGCAGGATCTGGTGAAGAAGAGGAAACTGTTTTGGAGGGGAAGTACTTTAGAAGCAAATGGGGGAGGAAGTATGAGATGTGCCGTCTTCTCCAGTAAGCATGTGTATGTTCTCATGTTGACAGTGAGGCTGTGGAGCACTTCTTAGAGGCTTTGCACATGCAGCAGAAGAGCCGAGGTCCGCGGGGGCAGCAAGGTGCTATGTCTGACAACATCTGGAGCACCCTCCGCATGGCCCTCTCCATGCTGGGGCAGAGTGACCTGTACGGGGCAGCTGATGCCCGTGATCTTCCCACACTGCTTCAGGCATTTGGCCTCCAGCAGTGACTCTCGGATGGGCTCCCCTGCGAGTGCAGGGTTGGCCCAGCCCAGCAGTGACCTTCCTTAGAGAGAAAATGTTCGCTAGGGTTCACACATATCTTTGCTCTGGTAGGGCAGATCGTTGGCACCTGTTTTTTCAAGGACCTCCCACTGAAGCATGCAACTTCCCCTACCTGTCTGTTGTGGCCTGAGCATCTCTGAGCGGTTCGTGCTGTCACCTCTGTGACTGACTGACATTCTGCTGGTAGGCAGGTGATCAAAGTGGGGAAGACAGCAACACCCAGCCCTCTTGCCAGACTGCATTTGCAGTAATGCCAGCTTGGCTATGATGCCTTACAATAGCCATTCTGCAGAGACGACCTGCTGGATGAGTCTCAAGTGCAGGTTGCTTTGGTGGGGTGGGATTGCCATTTGGTAAAAGGGTGAAAAATTCTGGGTTTTGAGCATGCTTCCCCCATGTATGTGCTTGCATGTGTGTATATGTGGGCTGCTAGGGAAAAGTGGGGACAGCAGTCCCCTTTTCTGGGTACTGGTAACTTCATGGTAGAGCCAGATGCTAGTTTCTCAGTGTCTCTTCATGAGCCTTTTAAGAGCAGAGTATTGTGCTTATGCTAGGGTCACAGGTGGAGGCCCTTAGGCTATCAGGATAAGAGGAGATCCCAGAGTTCAGACTTGAGGGAATGTGATGGGAATAAAAGTCTGAAATGTAACCTCCCTTCCCAGAAATATGGTGGGGAAAGGGTCAAGTCTTAATTTTCACTTGATCATCTGTCATTGTTTTTCTTTGTGCAGAGGTTCCCCATCTTGTGTGTAACTGAATCTTGTTAATTATAAATATCTGTATATGATTATATTGGGGAAAATGTTTTTTAATTGTAAAGTATTTTGTATAATAAAGGGTGGAAAATTAAAATTGCCAAAATAGCATCTTTGTGCTTCTGTTGGAGCTGCCTGCACTGGGTAGTACAGATCTCTGGGGGTATAAGCCCACTGGTTTTCAAAAGATCGATCAGAGTCTTAGATTCTGTCTCCCCTTTTGACCCAGGTTTTGTTTTATTGATAGGTTATATGCAAATGAACCTTAAAGGACCTCATTTTGCTGTAGCCTCAGGCTTCAGTTCTGTGAGCCAGCAGAAGAGTTTCCCTGTGCCAAGTGCTCTCTTTTTCCTTGCTTAGGTTTAGGGGTCAGTGAAGCACTTTTTTTCCATTTTCTTGCCATCTGCAGTGAGGGAAGTTGTGTTACATTTCATCACTTTTTTGAGGAACCTGACTGCTGCAGTAGTCAAGACGGGAGGCTTACGCAGGGAACGCTTACCCTTCCTCTTCCACCAGGCACCTGTTTCTTCATACCCCTACCTCACAGGCCTGTTTTTCTCTCATTACTGTAATGACCAGGAGCAGAAAGCATGTGCAGAGAACAGTCCTTGCTGTACATTTTCTGAGCTCTAGCTCTAGCTCCGGCCCTGTGGCACTGAAATCTACGTGCAGTCTTCCAAAACTGCTGTAACACATGCAAAACAATTTGTGCTGCCTAAAAGCAAGAGAAACACCGCTGCTGTGTTCTGCTCACACATGCTGCTCCTTGACCAGAGATGTGCCTTTCAGTTTTTACTGATCTCAGTCCTTCTGTCAGATTCTTCTCTGCTCAGTGAAAGAAAAATTAGTGCCTATGCTGTTCCTCGCCTGCTGTCCAGGTGTTCTCCCTTCCTGAGTTCTCTGCTGTCCATCTCCCCACTGATTTCTTTTGCCTCTGTGGTGGTGCATCCCCCCTGCCCTTTTCTCCTGAACTGCTCTACAATTTCAGGAATTCCCACCACACCTTGGCCTTTGTGTAATGAGTTGGACGGTTAAGCATCCCTTAACTGTACCAGGAACTACTGTGCGGCTGAGGAGGGGAGCGGCACTGTCCATACTAGAAACACCAGTTGACTTGTCAAGGCAGGGAGTGAGAGCAAGGAACAATCAGTTATCCCCTGACAGCTTTCAACATACCTTACTTGGATCATAACCCGAGCGAAGCGGCACCATTGTTACTGGAATTCCAGTAAATTACCAACCTGGATTGTGGCCAGGACAGAAATTTACTCATGACTAAAGCAAATAATCTTGTGACCCTATAAATAGTGGTCCTAAGTGAGTCCCTTCAAGCTCTCCTGGACCACAGCAGATTGCGGCCAGCATCTCCCTCTGAGTTGGATGCCTCTCAGAGCTTGCAAACTCTCAAGTTTGCAAAAATTGGAGGTCCACTGCAGAAGACCAATGAGCCTGGGCTGAAAGCCTTCACCCCTTGAGGCTCAGTCCTCGCCTGTTGACAAATACAGAGATATTTGATGTGAATATTTCACTGAATTCAAGGGGAATTTTTAACAGGAAAGAAGAAAAATGAATCTGTATCAAGGGTGACAACAACGAGGTCACCCAAACCCAGTCTTGTTTCTTCTCTTAATCAAGATAAGTATACTCCTTCCAGACCAGATGCAAAATCCTTGGGCAGTTCAGATGCAAGATCTTTGGGACCATGCACTACTAAATTATACTGGGAGTGTTGGGATCTCACCAAAAGATGAGACTTCTTTGGTCATATGTGAAAGTGAGGTGTGCCTGAAATGGAAATGGAAAATGCTGCATACCAAAGGAATTAAAATATCTCACAATAATAATAACAACACTTACTAAATCTTATCCCTTCAGGTCACACCAGGGGAAGAAATAAAGATAGGGTGCTTAGCAATCAACAATCTACACATGAAAAACCTGAAAACCAATTAAAATATACTATACTGATTTTTCTAAACCAAAAACCAGCCAGAAATCTTGTTATAACACACCGGAACCAGACTGTTGGTACAATTTCACTTTCATGCAACCTGTACTTGCCTTCTGCCTCTGGGGAAACATGGTGTAGGATTATTGTTTGATTTTATGATCACTGGGTGTAAAATGTGGAATTAATGTTGGGGTGGCCATGGGTTGATGTGTATGTACTTTTTTAATGTACCTGTACCTGATCTAAATTTGTCCTCAATAATACTACACAATAACACACTTTTCATAGACATGCATGGATCATTAACGATGAAAATTCACAAATTCCATCTTTAAAGACAACCAAAGGAGCCACCATTTTGATAGGATGCTGAACTGAAAATCACACTGAATGTATGACAGAAGCTTTACACGTTGCTGTAAACAATGTTGAGGGAAAGCACCACCTACATACCTGTCCTTTTAAACACGAACGTTGGTGCAGCTTTACCATATTGCATTTAGGACTCATAATGTGCCTTTGGACAGACCCCAACTCTTGTTCTAGCTTTAGGTTTCCAATTCAAGATTGATATCGAACAATTGTGTTCACCAACTCGGCCTCCTATCAAACCGTCTCCTCACATTAATAACATCGGTCCCTACATAATTAAAAACGTAGGACAACAACGAATATTACTTAACCCATCATGGTCTCTCAAATGAGTGGAACTGTCAATGCAGGTTGACATCTCTTCAATTAAACCTACCTACCTGCTCACCATTCCTAAATACATCTTACATGCAACAGTTAGCATGGTTACGTGGATGAACCCTCACCTCTCCAAAGCGAACAGAGGGAGAGGTAACCAGTGTCATAGGGACAGGATTGTGAGTCTTGAATAGTATGGATGCTGAAATACTCATAAATAAATTGAGCATGACAACAAGTGATTTGAACAAATTAGAACACCTGTTGCAGTCTTCTCTATCAGCATTGGGAACTAGTCAATGGCTTGTAGCTGACACCTAAGTGGGAAGGAATTAATGAAAAAGACCACCAACTAACCATGGATGCACTAGGGTACGGCTTGAATTACTGTCTCTCTTGCTCTTAGTTGTATTCAAGCCCAATGGTGGATAAAATTTACTGTAACAACAATTGTAAGAGAAGGCAAAGAGGGCACCTTACCCGCTGAACTTTGAATGGTAGTCTGGGACAATGCAACTCAATTTGAAAGGGAATTCAAATCCTGGTGGTGTCTTATCAATTTTACCTATAACCCTACTGACAGTAAAGCCATAGCTGTTGTATTAACAATACTCAATGCTTCGGTATACACCATATCCCCAGTCATTCCGCTGGGATTAAACCACAATGGAGCTGTCCTCTGTCCATTAGAACACAGAGTATGGGCCCAACAAAATGGGAATAAATGGCAAACTATTGGTGTTGATGCATGTGTTGTACAGGAACAACAGGGATTTGTTTGTGAAAGCAATACCATTAAGGCCTAAGACATTTGTCTTGACAGTGAACAAAGTGTTTGTTATTTTGAACTACATCCTGATAAAACCCCTGAAATGGTACTTACACATGTTGGAAATGGACGTGTTTGTATGAGAACCCTTTGTAATTCTGTATCTATAGGCAACACCCCCATAGATATATACAATCTGTATTTGTAATTTTACCAAAATCACAGGATGCAACTTCAACTATTCAGCCTCTGTTACAACCTGCCAGCTGTTACAATCTAACTATACATTGTATCAAGATTTATGACCTACCTCCATTTGAATGAATAGGACATTGGTGAGAAAACTGTTGCAAGATGATGACCTGAATCAATTGCTAAAGCGAATTTGAAACAATGGACAAGAACCCTGATACAGAAAAGATACAACATGTTCTAGAACAAATGAAAAAGGATGGGGAACATCACTGGTGGGATACTTTATTCGGATGGTCACCAACAGCAACAGGAATTCTGAATTGACTACTGCATCCCATTGTATATTGTGTTACGTTTGTTGTTGAATATAGTTCTGTATGTTAGAGTGTGGAAAATAGCTAAATGGCTGACATCATTTGAAAAACCTACTTGCATGTACAACACTGTTTAATCACATTTAACCAAACCTTGATAATTAAGTAAACAAACAAAAAATTTCCCTCAAATTACAATTGGAATATGGCATTAATCTGTTTATAGGCACAGAGGCAAGAGGTGACCACACGGCCACTCTGGGGGAGAGATGGACTGACTTTAGTCATGGGGTGGATTGTGGTGGTGCATCCCCCCCTGCCCTTTTCTCCTGAACTGCTCTACAATTTCAGGAATTCCCACCACACCTTGGCCTTTGTGTAATGAGTTGGACAGTTAAGCGCCCCTTAACCGTACCAGGAACTGCTGTGCGGCTGAGGAGGGGAGCGGCACTGTCCATACTAGAAACACCAGTTGACTTGTCAAGGCAGGGAGTGAGAGCAAGGAACAATCAGTTATCCCCTGACAGCCTTCAACATACCTTACTTGGATTGTAACCCGAGTGAAGCAGCACCATTGTTACTGGAATTGTGGCCAGGACGGAAATTTACTCATGACTAAAGCCAATAATCTTGCGACCCTATAAATAGTGGTCCCTTCGAGCTCTCCTGGACCACAGCAGATTGCGGCCAGCATCTTCCTCTGAGCTGGATGCCTCTTAGAGCTTGCAAACTCTCAAGTTTGTGAAAATTGGAGGTCCACCGCAGAGGACCAACGAGCCTGGGCTGAAAGCCTTCACCCCTTGAGGCTCAGTTGACAAATACAGAGACATTTGATGTGAATATTTCACTGAATTCAAGGGGAATTTAATATAATTGTGGCTGTGCATATGCGTGTGTGAATCAATTTAAGTAATCTGTAAATATGTGATTTAATTACAAAATGAGTCTTAGACTGCTGCTAGACACATATTATCCTTAGACATAAACCTTTGACCAAGTCTGAGACTGAGACTGGACTTAGCTGCACCTAGACTCCTCTCTGAGAAGGAGTTTAGAAAGCAAGGGGGTCTACTCTGAACCTTGTGACTGAACGGGAGGGTCCTCCTTATCCTCTGCATCCATGGTTTGTTGGCGAATCATTCTAACTAGACTGTAACTTAATTTTCCTTTGTGTACTTCTTCTATGCAGTAATAGAGTGAACCTTGCCATTTTTGAATCTTTAACTAAGTCGCTGTTTTGATTAAAAGAAATTTTGTTGAATCACCTTTTTAATTGACTGATGATTGAGTCCTATTAAATCTAATCCTGTGATTTGCCCTAAAGGCACAAATAAATTCTACACTGCTACTAAATCAAATTGCGTACATTCACTCATTCCGGACAACCTCTTTGCTGCACCACCTTCCTCTCTGTTCACACTCCCATTATCACTGCTTTGGCCTTCACTTTTTCTCATCCTCAAGTGCCATTAATGCTTCTCCTCTCCTTGACTTCCTAGTTGTCTCAATGTCCCTTGCCATTTGGCTTCATCTCTTGACTTTGTGCTTGGTGTCCTTCCCTATCATGCCTCCCGTCCTGTCCCTGCAGCTAG